AAAAAAAAAAGGGCTGTACAGTTAGTTGAAAAATGGGCAAAGTTGAGATGGTAAATAGTTTTTGGTTGCGAACTTGACTTACAGGGCTCCAAACTTGGTGTCGCGCTCCAGCTGCAGATCATACACGGAAATGTGCGTGGGCGCAGCCTCGATTGCAAGCCTCAAACTCTGGGCCCACATGGCCGGCGTCTGATGGGGGAGCGATGATATGAGGTCTATGCTCCAGTTGCGGACCCCACACGACCTCACAATTTCAATGGCCTCATGAACCTCGCGCAGGCCATGGGAGCGGCCGCACGCACTCAGCAGCTTGTCCTGAAACGCCTGCACCCCGAGCGAAACCCTGTTCACGCCAAAACCCATCAAATCCCTCAGTGCCATGTCATCAAACGTGCCGGGGTCCATCTCCATCGAGATTTCCGCATCCGCTCGCACACCGAACTTGACGGAGAGCGCGGAGAGGACGGAGTGGACGAGGCGGGGCGGGACAAGCGAGGGGGTCCCACCGCCCAGAAACACCGTCCCGAGGGATTGGCCCGAAGCGGCCGTGGCCTCGATTTCCCTGCACAGAGTGCCGACGTAGCTGGAGATTCTCGGGTCATCTGTGCCGCTCGTATTCTGGTCGGAGCCGAGGGCGATGATAGGAAAGTCGCAATAGTGGCAGCGCCGGCGGCAGAAGGGGAGGTGGACGTAGGCGGATTTAGGGGGGAGTTGCTGGAGTAGTGAAAATGGCGGGGAAGTGTTGGTGTAAGCGGCTGTGGCATTTTGTCGAACAGGTCGTTGGCGTCTGATGTAGCTGTTTGCTGTGCGTGCAGGAATAGCTGCGGAGAGTGATGGGGTGAGAGAACTTGATCTCAGAAGCATGTTGGCCAACTGTGTCTCACAAATCACAGTTTGGGTTTTCAATGGAGCTCTCTACCAACCTATTATTTATTTTTCTCTTCTCTTTTTTTCTTTTCTCACTTTTTGCTTTGTCAGAATTTATTGATATTCATATATACTAGTCGTAATTTGTAGTATTTTTGGGCATGTGAACTTGATCTCAGAAGCATGTTGGCCAACTGTGTCTCACAAATCACAGTTTGGGTTTTCAATGGAGCTCTCTACCAACCTATTATTTATTTTTCTCTTCTCTTTTTTTCTTTTCTCACTTTTTGCTTTGTCAGAATTTATTGATATTCATATATACTAGTCGTAATTTGTAGTATTTTTGGGCATGTGGTAACCGAGCTACCCGACTCGGGTCGTTCTCAAAGGAAGGCTATTCGGAGCTTCGTTCACTATCTAGTCGTCTAAATTACACAACCAAAAATGTCCTAAGCATTCTACTCGCAAATTGGGGGTTGATTTAAGCTAAAATTAATCTACGAAATTGAAATCGAAAGCAAGTAAAGCACGCAAGAAGATGAGAGAAATCAAGGGGGAAAGAGAGATTTTGGTTTGTCAGAGTCTCCATGATCAATCACACGTAAATAACCGAACATTGTCATGCTAGCTAAAACCCTAGGAAGCTAAACCCAACTCTAGCACAAGACGAGCAAGTATTCAACTCCTAATCACACTTAGCCAAGCATTCACGATCTAAAGATTCAATCTTTTCCTCCAAGCAACACAAGCACAATATCGATTTTCACAAAAGCAAACAAAGATATACGAAGTAATGAGGCTTACGACTAAGTACCTACTCTCACACGCACTTGGGAAGAAAACCGGAGTCAAAAGCTCGAAACTTTACTCGAAACAACGTCGCCGGAAATTCACCGGAAAACTTGATTCATAAGCTCCAAACCAAAGCATAAAAAAGGAAAAAAGAAAATAGAGAGGAATTCCCAACTTAAAAGTTGGGAAATGAGAGTTGTTCCCAGAAAAACAAAGCATAATGTCTTTTTATAGCTACACCATAAACACACACTAAAACACACACATTTAACAATTTAGCACTCGCTAGGTAGCGAACTAGTTCGCTTGGCGAATTGGTCTTGTGGTCTTGTACACACTCGCTAGGCGGAGAACGCGTTCGCTAGGCGAACTGGTCTTGTGATCTTGTGCACACTCGCTAGGCGGCGAACGCGTTCGCTAGGCGAATTGGTCTTGTGGGTCTTGTGAACACTCGCTATGCGGCGAACATGTTCGCTAGGCGAACTAGACTTCCAGATATCTTGCACAGTAATGACTCGATAATGGCTCGAAGGTTCTCGGAATGGTTCATTCTCTCGGAACTTGGCTCGATTCTTCTCTTTCATCTTCCAAAATGGACCTAAAAATTGCACCAAAGACACGAGAAAGTACGCCAAAATACAAACACCAAAGAGAAAATGAAAACACACAGAATCAACTAAAATGGACCGGTTAGACAAGAAAACCAACCTAAACCGACTCAACTACACACATAAAACACATAAAAAGAAGCACAAAAACACAATAAACAACTCCCCCACACTTAACTCTTTGCTTGTCCTCAAGCAAACAAAATAACAAGTAGCTCGAAAAGAAAAATCGAATGGTCCAACATTAACGAGCACGCGAAATGAGACTCTCATTATCATCCGGTTATCCCTAAAATCAAAATCCAATCCGAAAACACGGCCCCCACATAGCAAATCCATACAAAACAAAAATCCATCCCGAGTTATTCTACACATGATCACTTGATTCACACTCCCTCGTCTACATACACGTGTAAAAACTATAATGATCCACTAAACATGAAATGATGAGTACGAGACCAATAAGCCAACTCCCCTTCTTTTTCTCTTTTTTTTTTTATTATTATATTTTTTTTATTAAATGAGCCACTTTTTCCAAATGAAAGTCGTTAGGACGATTATTACCTAGGTTTAACCTCGGGGTTTGTCCCCGAGTTTCCTAGGCCGGTTTCCCGTACTCCTTAACCCGGTTTATCAAGAAGACTAACCGAGCCAAGAGGAGTCTAATCCTTTCAACTCTCACGAACTCATTTTCGTGAGCTTCTCTTTCCAAACGAGGTTTCCGAACGAGATGATCTAGGTTTAACCTCGAGGGGTTTCTCCGAGTTTCCTAAATCGGTTTCCCGGGCTCATTATCCCAATCCACGAAGTGGCTCGGAATAAGAGGAGCCTAATCCGTACTTCCCCGCGAACTCACATTTTATTCCAATTTTTTTTTTTTTTCGAAGGGAGTGGCACACAATAATACATCAAGAATACAATAACATGAACATCAATAATCATCAAGACGTACCACAAGTGCATAGATAACACGTTTACAATGATAGTCGAACATAAGGAAAGCATGCCTCAAGACAATCAATCGAGAACAAACAAGGGACAAAACAGTTCCGTGAATCCACATGCGGGTTCCAATGTCAATGAATCATCATTTAACTTTAAGAAAACCGTCCAAGTCATCAAGTACATAAAGCATGAACATTAATAGTGAAACCAATCAATAATCTTGACTCACCACTTAGCTATCTCGACTCTTGAACAAACATTGAGCATCATGCGGGAGAGGTGATTCAAACACATAAATACAAAACCGGTCCAAGACACGACAAAAACGAAAAATAAAGCACCAAAAATGAAACAAACATCCCCCAAACATGCATAATCACGAAAAATCCCTCCCCCACACTTAAAACAAAGCAATGTCCTCCTTGGTTGACCAAAAAGCATAGAGAAAAGCATATAATCATGTAAGTTCGAGTGATAAAAACTAAAATGAAACTCAATAAACAAATAAACGATAAAAAATAAACATAAAGACACACAAGAAACAAAGAAGCAAAAATAAAATAGGAAAAGAAAATGCGTACTCTACACGGTGGTGCTCCACCGTGTGTCTAATGGTGTTCGTCCAGTAGAGAAAAAGAGCCGGGGTCGTCGCCCCGAGAGTCCACGAGCTTGTTCAACTTTGTCATCTCAAGAAACCACACTTGCCAGAACCTTTAGCTCGGGAGCCATTTATGAACTTCGAGAGTAGAATGCACGAACACAAATAATAACAACGTTCAACGAACACTCCAACCATTTGAACCACCACTACAACGTTCTCCACTCAACTAACTCAAACAATTCAATAATAATAGCAAAATTTCAAGCACCAACATCTCAATTAACTGAATGTCACCAACAACCCATCACCAATCAACAATGCAAATTTTCAATCGCTCCCCATACAACCCGAAACGACCATTTCAACTATTCTAGCTCAACAAACCCAACAATTCAACAATACAAATGTAAACACTACAATCAACGCTTCAACTACCAACCGAATATCCCAACGATCCAATCAACAATCGAGCCAAACTCAACCAATTCAATAAGATCAACAATTTCGAACCAAAACAACACCAATTCCAATCAAAATGAACACTTTCACAATCTCCAAACACATCAAATCCAATCAAATAGCACAATTTCCCCAATCTCCAAACACCACCAAGTTCAATTAAAATCACAATTCCCCAATCTCCAATTCTCCACCGATATTCGATAAATGGAGCAATAATAGTCAAGCCAAAGTACCTCGGGAATGCACAAGTCAAGGCCGTGAAAAGGCATCCCGGAAGCCGAGCCCGTGGTTGATCTTGAAGGAGGTTGGGGCTGAGGTGGTGCTCATTGGTAGTCTCGGCTCATCGTCGCGAAGGTGAAGCTGGTGGTCGGAGCTCGCTTACGCGATCGGAGGTCGGGGATAGGAGCTGCGGTTGTTTCCCGTGAACAGGGGCTCCGTTGGGGTTGCATACAAAACAAGGGTCGCCTGGAATATTGCACGTCGGAGTTGCTCGGATGCCGGGCTGTGCAGGAGGGAGCTCGCCGGAGGTGGAGTAAGTGATTTCCGGGCGGTGGAAACTCGCTCGTGCTGGAAAATCGCGAAAGCTCGGCCGCCGTGGAAATCGAACATCCCGCGGGGGTGCAGAAGGTTCGGAGGAGATGCCGTCGAGGAGCTCAGTCGCCGCTGACGCCGGAGTTGCAGGGTCGCTGGAAATTGCAGATGGAAACACTGGATGGAAGAAGTTGCGGGAGCTGTGGGTTGGATTAGGAGAGAGAGACGATCGGGACTTAGGGTTTGAGAGTGGGAAAGTGTTGACTCTTTCGTCTCTTTTTTCTACCTCGCGAATTTCATCCAGCTCGCGAAACAGAATTCGAGCCTGCCAATTTTCGTGTCTGTCCAAGCCTTGTAACTCGCGAATTTTCACAGCTCGCGAACGTGGATTAGAGCCCGCGAATTTTAGCCTCAGTCCAAGTATCTTTCCTCGCGAATTTTCACATGCCTGCGAATTTGGACTTCGAGCCCGCGAATTTTAGCAATTTCAACACTTAGAAATATTTCACTACTTTTCAACCCCAAATTTTTTTTTAAATCAACTTCTTAGTAAAAATTTTCGCTCGATTCCCAGCTCGTTTTTTTTCAGCTCTTTTTTTTTGGCTCGGCTCTAACAAGTCGGTACTGCCGAGCAGGTCGGCACGAGCTCTTCAAATTAATTTCCATACTTAACTCAAATTTTCTACACTTCGCCATACTCCAATCCAAATTTCAACAAAATATCGGCTCCGAGTTCCATTTACTTCTCCAAAAATATCGTGTGTCGTGTGCTTTGCGGGGCTATTTATTTTCGAACGAAAATGAAAAACGAGAAAATGCAATAACCGTGGGTTGCCTCCTACAAAGCGCTCGATTTAACGTCTTGAGCTCGACGTCCCCAACGAAAATCAACCGGGATCCAAGAAAAAGTGTCGATCATGCCACGCCTTTGTATTTTCCAATAGTAGACGAGTCGGTAGCACCGAACAAAGGCGGGCCAAATGAACTCTCGTGGCCAAATTCTTGTGAAATCGAGCACGGATATCAACAATCACAAAGAGGATAGATGAATCTTTACG